GTGTTGGATCCTAAAGTATGGAGTGATCAAAGTGTTTTGAAGACTAGAAAGCTTTCGAAAGAAGTTAATCAGTCAATCGATCGATCTATTTACACTTGATATATATATATATATATATATATATATATATATATACAGAGAGAGAGAGAGAGTTCTCGAAAGGATCAATATTGATAGAAATAATGTGAATATATGTACGTATATATAATCAATAAGTTAAGAGGTTGATAAAGAAAAGAACCTGAAAGCAGTTATTCACTCTCTCTCTCTCGAATTTTCTCTTGTCCAGTTCTCAAATTATTTATGCGCATCAATACATCAACACACATAAACACACACGTATATATTTACATAGGATATCAGTAGTTTAGCATGAAGAAAGCAAAATATTTCGAACAAATATCTATGCATAAAATTATACAAGGTAAATTATACAATGTATTTTCATTGAGAAATAATAATGCACAATAAATTTACATAATTTAAAGTAGTAAGTAGTCATTTTATCAATGAATAGCACAAAACATGTTCGTATACAGAACTATATATACATGTGAACAAACTGACGAAACAACACATTGAGGTGTTGTAACTAGTTGAAAAAAAATGTAAAGGTTATCATGCACAAAAATCGGAACTGATCATCATTTAAATGAGAGCGCACGTGAGAGAGAGAAAAAATGTGTATCAGTATTTCAAACCAAAGTAAGTAATCTATCCGTAGTAAAAATGAAAAATGATATAATTTAGTCGTGAGGTGGTTCATTGTTATTTTTAATGGAAGTACAAGAAGTATTTCGATGGAATTTGGTTTGAATTTTGATTTCTTTAAGAGTTGGAGGAATTTCATCAATCAACTAACTTGTCAGTAAGGTTAACTGGAGATTGTGAGTAATTGAAGTGTGGCTAAAGGTTAGTTGAACAGCTACCTAGAAAATATTCTGCCCATCGATCTGATATGAATAATAGTCAGGTCTTTTACTGAATGAGTCTCGCTACCGGTCGAATTGTTAATAATAGTTTCTTTGATAAGTTTGAATAGTTGTCTAATGTAACCTCTATCACTGTTGCCTTTTCCATCTCTTTTGCTTACGCTACGCACTATTCACAATCATGAAGTAGTGAATCTTTATTGGTTGAAGTGGTTTGGGCATGTTGAACCAGCGACTACTTCGACAAGCTACGTTTTGTGATGTAGGGGTAGGCTGGAAGAAGGCTAGGGGCGGCCAAACCTAAACATGGCACAAATCCATGAAGTCACTAACAAGTGAACTGAGTCATGTTGGTAGGTGTAGACTATCTGGTTGGAGTCCGGGAGATGATAATAACCGATGGTTAGAGACTTTGAATGACATAGCTCAAAATCGTTCACAATCGCGCAGATGGATCCATTCTTTATCTTCTCTCAAGTTTTAATCTTCTAAATTCCTCATGACCTTTATCTTTCTCTTTTTACATTTGTTTCACTAGAATACACGTCTGGAATCATATCTTCACACCCTAATCTTCTCTTTTACCGCTAATACTTCTACTATTACTACTACTAAGGGGTTTGAATCGACGAATGCATCTCTGTGCTAACATGGTATGGCAACTTGAACTGATACACGAATGTACCAAGTTCTAAGTTGTAACTGACTAACCAACCAACTAACTGCTCACGATCATTGATTGCGTGTAGATGTCGTGAATACGTACTGACGAAGAGTACTACTATACTACGACAAAACAGTCGTCCAGTGTTTCCAGGTTTCTAACGATGATCCATCTAGCTTATTACCTACCAGTTCATAATTTTAACCATGAAACTAATTCTAAAAATCATCGAGGATAGTTATAATAATAATAATAATAATAATAATAATAATAATAATAATAATAATAGTAATAATAATAATAATAATAAAAGTTCGTAAATTATAGTTTTTTTTAATCAAAATGAAACAATGTTGATTTCATCAGCTGTAGGTATGAGTAGCGTAAACTCATTATCAGATATATACAAAATTACACATAACTTTCAAATACCCTGTACAAATATGTAATTCTTTTTTTTTCTATAGAAAACATAAACGCTAATTAACAACTACTACTACTACTAATCCTATAAACAATTTTGCAAATTTTACAAAAATAAAAAAAAACATGCAATTACATAAACGTTAAGGTCACAATATACGCGAGTACATGCACATGCGCACCCGCACACACACACACACTAATACTTTAATTGACAATACAACAAACTAAAATTCAATTAAAATTACAATGAATGATTGTTGATTTGAATTTCTGTTTTTTTTATCTGAATCGAGTGAAATAGTTCGTTGACTAATAAATAACACAATTACTGATCGCATATCATATAGGATACAGTTAAAAGTAAATAATTTCATAATCGCTTGCTTATTCTCAATCGGTCTTACACATCGAATGAAGTCAATAGTCAGTCAGTTAGTCAGTCAGTTGCAACGTAGAACTTCGTACGTAAGTACATCAGTTCATGTTGCCATACCACATTAGCACAGAGATGTAATTGTCAATTCAAATCCAATAGTAGAAGAGGTAGTAAAGGTATTAGAAGTAATCAGAGAGGTTAGGATGAGAAGATATTATTCAAGAAGTGTGATTAAAGGAGAAAAGTTTAGAAAGTCGAAACTAGAGGTGTTGAAGAATCCAGAAGATTAGGATTTGAGAGAACACAGAGAATAAATGCACCGGCGCCACTGCAAACGGTTTTGAGCCATGTCATTCAGGGTATCTAACTATCGATTATTATCATCTCGCGGACCCCAACCAGGCAGTCGACAACTACCGACATGGCTCAGTCCACTTGTCAATGACTTCATGGATTTCTGCCATGTTTTGGTTTGGCCGCCCCTAGCTTTCTTCCAACCTACTTCTACACTGCAAGACATAGCTCGTCGAGGCAGTCGGTGGTTAGCCATACGCAACACATGTCCCGACCACTTCAACTGATGAAGTTTCACTACTTCATCTATTGATTTGCCGTCCCTACTTAGAACTCGTTTCCTAACGATAGCATTGCTTATACGGTTGTCCCATGATACACGAGCAATGCTTCGGAAACATCGATGATCGAAGACTAGTAACCTACGGAAGTCTTCTACTCTTAACGGCCACATCTCGCATCCGTACAGTAGGACGGGGCGCACTGCTGCACAGAACACTAGTCCTTTAGTCAGCGAACGGATATCTCGCCTGCGCCATATATGACGCAGGTTGGCAAAAGCCAGTCGAGTCAGTAAGATCAAATTGGATAATTGGTTATCATTATTAATCAAGTCATGAACTGATCATTATTGGAAATATTAGTGTACGTGACTGATTGGCAATGCACACTAGCTGGAATGGAACTCACAACCTTTATCCTGACGTATGAACCTTCAAAAATATGGGCTACTGACTATAAGTTCATAAGTGATAATTAAAATATTCAATCAAAATGACAAGGTATTTCTACAATTGAAGAGTATTTGGAACTAAAAAGAACTCTCAACCAACACCAACGTCAGAATTTTCAATACGAGACAATTCTACTGCATCAGGCAAAAACATGGAGAACTTTAAAAGCCATCATACACAAGATACATGTGTTTATCAATAGGTGACTACTAAACATACTGAGGATCCGTTGACCAGACACCATCAGCAACAACCTACTGTGGTAGAGAACAAATCAGATTAAATCAGACAAAGAAATCAGGAAAAAAAGTGCTGGAGTTGGTGAATAGGACATATATTGAGGAGATCACCCAACTGAGTCACAAGCCTTCATCTGGAATCCTCACAGCAAAGGGAAAAGAGGAAGACCAAAGAACACATTACGCCGAGAAATAAAGACAGACATGGGAAGAATAAACAACAATTGAAAAGAGTAGGTTGGAGAATGCCGGTCGGTAGACTATCATCCACTAGAGGTAACAGGCGTAAATAAGTTAGTATTGGAACAGAGGCATACTATAAAAAAACATGCTTTACATAAATCACTGAACTTGTGTGCAGGCATAGAAACTGACCGGGTGCTCAAATCAAAACAGTTGCTTTTCATGGATTTTTCCTGGGCCTTTGGCCTACAGGTTCAATCCACAAGGTAGAGGAGCAACGTTAAGGGGTGTAGTCTCAAGTGAGACAATGACCATAGTATCATACATCCTTTGTCCCATATATAAATATATATATATATATATGTTTGATATTGAGTACATGGGATGTGAGCTAGTAGTGGAATCTAGGATGCGTAAGACACATAAATATTTGAGTGCTCCTTCGTACCATTAAATGTTTGAATAATAATCATAACAGCAATAATAATAATAACAGCGCAGCTCAGAACAGTACTGAAGAACTGTAACCATGAAAAATAATCGTAATCACTATTTGAAATCATGAACCGATCAATGTTAGACAACCATTAGAAAAATGGAAGCACTAGACAGCTGTTTTGTCCTAATATGGGACTCATTAGCAGTGAGCATCCACGACCCTCGATCTCAGGGACCGAACCCAGGACCGTCAGTCTCGCGCGTGAACCTCTAGACAACTGAGCTAGTGGCATCAAACAGTGTCAATTTATGGGTGAGGTTGTGCGATACCATAGAATGAACAAAGTTAGGCGCTAACACTATTGGATGCCGCCGGTTCAGTAGTTTAAAGGTTAAGCATATGAGCGCAAGACCGAAGGTCCTGACTTCGATCACCGCAAGCGGAGGTCGCAGATGCACACTGCTGACGAGTCGCATGCTAGGACGAAACGGCTGTCCAGTGCTTCCAGGTTTCTCTAATCCTGGTCTAACAATCATCGATTCATGATTTCAAATCAAAAGCAACATCATTCTCCATAACTCTATAATGAATAATCAATACACCAAACAATATGATACTTACGATATTTGAAAAAAATTAAACATTTAAAATATAAATTTAAAAAAAATCGTATAAAGCATAAATAATAATGATACGTTGTTTGTTCAATAAGATTAACTTACCCTACTTCGTGTATTCACATTAGCATGATATTGATTAATTAATAATTTCAAACAATTGATATTACCAAATTTTGCTGCATAATGTAATGCAGTCTACAAATGAATTGATGAACAAAAAAGAATTAGGGTATAAAAGGTATGTTGAACTGGGAAGTTGATGGTCAGTTAGCTAGTTAACCTCGTCTCATGAGGAGGGGGAGCTAGTTGGCTTCTTTTAGAGTAAAATCCCACATTTACAAAAAGAAAAGGGCAATTTTTTGGATAGGGAGTAGTATTCACGTACTGGCCTGGCTCAGTTCAATTGTCAATTACCTCATAGATTACTGCCATGTTTTAGTTTGGCCAGCCCTAGCTTTTAGCCAGTCTACTCTTACACCAGACATCACTTGTCGACACATTCAGTGGTGGTTAGGCATACGTAACATGTCCTAACCATGTCAACCAATCAAGATTCACTACTTCATCAAATGATTCACCATCCTTACGTATTACCCTTCTACTAACAGGAAGCATCTGTTGTGCAACTCCAAAGATGAGCCGGTACGATTTGATCTGTGTGTAGTGATCTAATGGTTGATAGTTGAGTGTTCGTTCTAACCTATCATTCCATAATCTTGTTCATCAAATTACCTCACTTTCAGTCAGTCAGATGCAACCTAGAACTTCGTACGTACGTACATCAGTTCATGTTGCCATACCACATTATCACAGAGATGTAATTGTCAATTCAAATCCAATAGAAGCAGAGGTAGTAAAGGTATTAGAAGCAGTCGGAGAGGTTAGGATTAGAAGATATTATTCAAGAAGTATGATTCAGTGAGATAAGTTTAAAGGGACAAAACTAGGGGTGTTGAAGAATCCAGATTAGCTCAATTTATTTAACAATAAAAGCAAATGATGTAAAGCAATCAAAGACAAAAAGGTATAAAATCAAAACTTACCCACTGGAATAATTTCAATGTTCAATTTTCATGTATTTTGTATTATGAGAGAAGCAAATAAAAAAGAGGTGAGCGAAGAGAAAGGAACGGGAAAAACAGTTGAAAAACATTAGTTATTAATAATTTTAGCAATAATATGAAACATAAATGGATGATGAAATTTTAGCTAGTTAGTTTGTTGAAATGGATATCAGTTTATTTTTGAACAATAAAAAAATTTAAATTACTGTAACATAAATGGTGCTAATAATAAGACACTATGACAAATTGTCCGGCAATCAATCCCGACCGTAGCGAGTACCTTGACGTGGTGGTGGACGAACTAGCCTATCGTCATGACCCAACCGAGCTATATTGGTTGGAACATATGTTCCTCTTGGTTCTACCATGCCAGGCAGGTCGGTTGGAGAACGATGAGACTAAAAGCAGCTACTCAAGGTCTGAGGGCGGTTTCGTACAGCTGATTGTAGAGAAGTGTAACAGCAGTAGGGTGTTTCCCTCGGACAACCAGAATCTGCAGTGATGCTTCCTCCTCACTGCGGAAGGAAGGGGTTAGAAAATATTGACCCTAGAAATGTTACACCTCACCTTACCTCACGGATTTATGTCTCCCGCAGTAACGACTTTTGACGAGCGGAGCTGACACTAAAAACTTTCCATAGAAAGGACGTGAGTGACCAGCCTCAAGCAGTTGTCCGTTGAGCTCTGTGGTCACAACACTCTCATATCGGTAAGAACAACGCTAACCCAACTCCTTTCACAGGTTCTTCAAGAAACACCCTCCCATGATGTGGGCAGCCGGGAAATGACATCCGCCCTCATACCCGTAACAGCACACAAGACTGGCAGAAAATGCTATCACATAGTCACTGTCAAAGAGTCCTACTGACGACCTTCACGTGCAGCAAAGGTGTTATTCACGAAATTAACAGAATCAAAAGTGAATGTCGTGCGGAGCTTAAACTGGGTTGGTGGGTATTGGAGATTGAAATAAAGAAGTAGGAAACCCTCGTTTTACATCTACTGCATGACGCTGAGTAAATAAATGGAGAACAAACCCACTGTTGGCCACTGGTTACCGTTAGACTACACGTTTTAGCGTTGTCAAATTACCTCGTAGTTCAGACCTGTAGGTGAAAGTCTTGGGCGGAGAAATTGTACGTACATACATACACTCATACAGTAAATCAATGATAAATTTTCATTTATTATTAGTCAAAGTGAGCTATGATTTAAAGTGTTGAGTGTTTTGATTAAAACATACAACGTTCATTCAAAATAGACCGGAAATTTGAATTTCATTCCACTTAGGTTGGTTCAAACAATCGAGTTGCACAATTATAATTAGTTCCCTTTCTCTATCCCTATAAATAAGTTAAAGTTGAGTACATTAATCGATTCACGATGAATAAGTTTGATGACTTTGTAAGAAATAACTTGGAAGCTTTTCAGTGTTTGTTGATGAAAAAATAGTAATAATACAGAGTACTAAAATGTTTAGCTGTTAATTTGAACAAATGAGATGATGTTGTGTTACTCATTTTGTTATCAAAATTTACCAAAAATTAAAAACAATCTTTGAAATTAGAAAACGACCGACTAAAAAATTATTGTATTACTCCATCTTAATAAAATACAACATTAAGTTTCTGTAGCCTTCACAACTGACACCAATTAGCGTTATGCATGCGTGTGACTACGTCATTTGATATGCTTGAACTATTTACGAGTTTACCTTAGTCAGTAAACGAGAACGAGGATTCGGCGATACGACAGACTACTCTAATCCGAGCGTCCCAAAACCCCATTGAGTAAAAGAAGAAGACTTGATATGAAGTAGAACATGTATTCTACAAGCATCCAGAAAGTACGAGGTCCGAGTCCAGAAGAGAATCAGGATCCCAAACTAGGGATCCGGGTCATAAAACGTCACAGATAATGCGTATTTATACAGTCAGGTCGAATAGGAAACAACATTGAAGTCTGTGACATTGATAGTTAGGACCACCAATAGGAAACACCATTTGAAGTGACATTGATAGGACGACCAATAAGAATTAACCAATAGGAACTGATCAATAGAACTAGACTTACAAATAATTATCTTAGGATATTGGATGAATATCCGAACAATCAGTAGATAAAGTATTTGATATTAAACTTTATGTTGATTGACGTGTAATTTAGGAAGGCAAATCTACCAGTTTACAGAAAGTGACCAGTGATCTGAATAGATCATCTTTGATAAAGTACACATCAATGTTTATTTTTATATAGACACATAAGCATTGGTACGAACGAGCAGCACCACACAAATTGTTGAAGTTATGTGTAAGCTTGGATACTACCAGCACGTGCAAACCAAAGCAAGTGGCTTTTTAAAGGATTGCTTCCCGAGCCTTTTTAACCTACAAGTCTAACTCAAAAGGTAGTCAAGCAAAGTTAGGAGATGAAGTCCCATGGTAGCCAGTGACCAATAATGGATTCGTTCCCTCATGAGCACGAAACCTCACCACTGGTTTCCCAACTGACGTGGATGAATCCTCCGAACGCACAGACCTAACCGGACATTCACTTCTCGTCCTCTCAGTTTCGTAAACAACACCTCTACCGTACGACAATGCAATGGGTAGAACTTATCTGGCAGTGGCTATATACACATGAGTATATGAGAGCATTTCAAAAGAAAACGGATTCTCCCCACTCTCGGCTTTTTACAGGAGGGAGATTTGGGGATCACATAGATATTTGCAAATCTATATTTTTAGATTCATGTATTGGTGATTACTACGGATAACTAAACGATGAATTACGTAACTTAAGCAGTTAAACTTTAGATTAATTATTAAACTATACAGTCAGAAAAAGCATGAACTTACACCATTCACTGGATCCTGTTTCAATGAAGTGAAAATAAAACATGAAAAAAAGACGAAGAAATTTAAAACATGAGAATGTACTTCAATCGGAAAAAACTATCAACGAAATGGTTATTACTCTTAGAATAAAACAGGTGTTGATATTTATTGATGAAGAGAGAGAATGAAAGTGTATGTATGATGAAATACTGGAACTTAGAGTCTACAGTAAAATAGTAATGGCATGTCAGTATCATTCTGACTCATGTTACTGAAAATTTGCAAACATTAATCATATTTGTAAAATAGACCACAACCAAATTAATCTACATTTAGACAATGAACACACGAACTGAGGTTATGTTTTTGGTTTGATCACCTCTAGCTTTGCTTCAACTTATTCTTTCTTACATCAACTAGCATTGACTGCTGAGTAGGTTGAATGATCGGTAAGCATGATGCATGACACACGGATTACTGTAGAACTGAAACAAGTATACAATTTGAACAGTAAGTAAATAGTCAGTCAGTCGAATACAATGTAGAACTTCGTACGTACATCAGTTGAACATTCACACATAGAGATCGGATTGTCAATTCAAGTTCAATACCAGACCGAAACATGGCATAAATCCATGAAGTCACTGGAAAATGGACTGAGTCATGTCGATAGGTGTCGACTACCTGGTTGGGGTCCGCAAAATGATAATAATCGATGGTTAGAGACCCTGAATGACATGGCTCAAAACCGTTTGCAATGGCGTCAGTGCATTTATTCCTTGTGTTCTCTCAAAGCCTAAACTTTTTAATTCTTCACTTTATCCTTATCTTTTTAAATCTATTTCACTAGTTTCTACTTTTTCACTAATGTCTTCTAATCCTAACCTCTCTGATTACTGCTAATACCTTCACTACCTCTACTACTGTTGGATTTGAATTGACAATTACATCTCTGTGCTAATGTGGTATGGCAACATGAACTGATGTACTTACATACGTACGAAGTCCTAAGTCGCTATTGATTGATTGATTGATCAAGTTCCATAGTGACAGATGTAGTAGACGTATTGGCGGTAACAAAGGAGATTAAGGTTCGAAGACATGATTCGAAAAAAGTATAAATCAGTGCAATAAATTTAAAAAGAGACAAATGATCAAGGGGAATCCAGAAGACTAGAATTTGAGAGAAAACAAAGAATGGATGCGTCTGTGCCATTGCAAACGACTGTGAATCATGTCTTTAATCATTGATGACTATTGTCTAGCGGACCCCAACCCGGTAGTCTACACCTACTATCAACATGGCTTAGTCCAGTTGTCAGTGACTTCATGAATAACTTAACAATGATAATGATAATATCAATAGTGTATATCCAGCTGTCAGTGTTGATGAAATCGATGAACATGAAACTTCGGTCAAGTAGGACTTTTTGTCGTTAGTACCCAATTACATAACATCAATTACTGATAACTATTGATTATCTATAGTAAATAACTTTATATCAATATGATTATCATATAGTATATATGTAACTAATGGTAAATATTAATTACAAGACAGTGCTGTGAACCTATTTTGTAACAAAACTTGGTCTGTGTCTATTACATAATGTTTTTATTTATTTAAACATGTAAACATTGATACAAAGGGGAACCTAAATATTCATCCATTACATAAACTATTGAATTCATGAGTAGGCTGAGATACTTTGCCCGGACGCCCTAATCGAAGCAGATGGGTTTTCCTTTGTTAAGGAGCCACTTCTGGCTCCGGTGGTTAGGTCTTAAAAAGTTACGGACCTGACTCAAGATGATAGATGGCATTCATAGCTCAGGATGAGGAGGACCTAAATGTTCATAAAACTACTCTAAAAGGATTGAGTTTACCCGATCTCAAGCAATTTTACCTTAAAGACTGCGGTCCCTGTAGGCTGTCAAAACTACTTATAACGTAGTTTTATTTTCAGGTACCTCAAAAAGTATCTTTTCACTGTAGAGGGAACTGGGAGGTGACATATACCCTCATACTTTTAACTGTACATGAGATTGACTTGTTCGTAATTAAACATTGATCCATGTAATAAATAATGTTGAATAAATATGTGAAGGCAGATCAAGAGACCAACGTATGCAGAAAGACCAATATTTGATAGTAGGTGTATTTAAAGGACTATATTTTTATCTATGTCACGATCTAATATAATAGTCGGTTTGTGTGAAACTGTATGGAAAGTCAGTTGATCTGATGAAGTGGTAGATGTTATATTAGCTAATATAATCCTACTTCAACACGATTAGAAGGTATACCGTATATGTTATAATGTTGCTACGTAGATATTCAAATCCTACCGACGTCCGAATTCAAATATTCCAGTACGACCCAAATATTATTCCCAAATCTCAGAACACAACGCCGTTAGAGTACAGTAGAGAGGAAGGCAGGAAGGAATGGAATGCAAAGCTTTACAGATACTGTGTATTTATACATTTTGGTCGAACAGGAAAGAATATCGAAGTCTGTGATATTGACAGTGAAGACAACCAATAAGAAACAACATTGGAGTATGTGACATTGATATGTAGGACGACCATAAAATTAACCAGTAGGAATTAACCAACAGGAATTAACCAATAATTCTCTTAGGATATTAGATGAATATCCTAACAGTATTCTAGGTAATAGATGTTATGTATCTAAGAAAAAATTAACCATAAGTACAGGTCAATCATGTGCTGTCTAGACGAGTGATGTTTTGTTATGTAAGGATATCTGGAAGAAAGCTACGGGTGACCAAACCAAAACATGGAACAAATCTTTGAAGTTACTAACAACTAGACAGACCAATGTTGGTAGGTGTAAACTACCCGGTTGGTGTCTACGAAACAACAGTAACTCACTGTTGGAGACTTTGAATGACATGGTTCTAAATCGTTTGTAATGGCACAGATGCATCCATTCTTTGTCTTCTCTCAAATTCTAGTTTTCTAAATTCCTTATGACCGTTTTTCCCCTTTCAAATTCTTTCACTGAATTATACTTCTTGGATCCTAATCTTTTACATTTCCACTAATACTGTCACTACCACTACTACTCTCTGATTTAATCTGACAATTCCATTTCTCTGTGCTAATGTAGTATGGTAACTTGAACTGATGACTTGACTGAATGAATTTAAAAATTCCTAATTACAATGCGTAAGATTAAAGACCTTTAGGATAAAAAAAGCTTAAAATAGTTTGCACATATATGAACTTCTGATTATATCAAGCTGATTTCTTGCTTAACTCATCTCTATAATCCTACAAGTTGTTTTGGTATTTTTTTGTTTAATAAATTACAATATTTTCTGCATTTAATAGAACTATTCAATAAAAAAAATCATTATCAAGAATCATAGACTCTTTAAAATCACAGATGAGATAGTGTCTGTCATATTACATGGTTGAAAACAATTATCCGACAAGAGAAATCGATCGATTGTTCTGATTTTTAAACTTTGATAGTTTACTATCATATATATATATAAAGATAGACAGGTAGATAGATAAATTTACTATTCAATAATGAAACTAACGGTACTCAATAATAGTACATCACAAATGGTCTGAATTGTCATAGGATAACAATAATGATTGAGTTATAAACTCATCCTTTCATTAATATTTTAATCAACTAAACATAAAGAGATAAAGTTGACGAATTTTAAAATATTTTTTTCATGATATGGTTGTGAAGATTGATGAGTTAGTTACTTTTAGAATAGCTATTCGGGCTTCCATCATGATAAGATGGAGGAATTTAGGCTACCATAATAAAATAATACAGAGAAATCGCACTAGAAAGTAAGTTCTTTTTAATCAAACAGGTCGACTGGATAGAGTTGGGATTGAAACTAACAAAAATGAAGACAACTTCAATATAAGTTGATTAAAGTCGATTCCGGATAAAGAAAGTTGATGAAAATTCAGAAGGCTAGGGTAATAAGTAACATTTGGTAGTTATTAAGACTTGATTAAGAAATTGGGCTAAAAGAAAAAAATTAGCCACTAAAACAGATGGATTAGTGACTAATCTTCAAGCGCTAAGACACATGAACATAAAGGTAGGACAGTTTAACTGACTTTCAAATACATTTCAAATGTATGCTACCCATCAGACTTAGGCTAGTTGTAATGATATAAACGGGTTTGGTGGTTGGAGGGTTCATATGTATCTTATTTGACCGAATTCTATTGTTGAGTATGAAAATTTGTAAGGATAGAAATCCTCTTTTAAAATAAACTCAGGTGTTTCACCATCCGACGGAAGTTTGAGGTCAAGAAAACGTTATTTTTTAGCTAAACTAAGGTAGAGAGTATAAGTACATTATGTTACTATTAGCGGGACATAGATGGGATTAAAGCATGATTGGCTAATTCTTATCCAATCAGTGCTAGTCGATACTTGGGGAACAACATTCTACAAGCTTCTCATTTAAAAACTGTGAGTATACTAACGTCTTTTTGCTTTTGGACCTTCTGACTTCCATTCCAACCTTGTTATTGGAATATAATCTATTTCGTGTTCAACAGTGTTCTGATTTGAGAAAAGGTCTCGAGCGAATTGGTGTCCGAGAATATTAAGCATTAGGAATAGCTGGGTTGTAAGAAAAAGAGAATTAGAACAGTTACTAAATGTCAGCTTAAGTTGTATTACTTTAAATCGTAATTTTCTATCAGTAATATCGTCTAGTAAAAGTAGTTTATCAACAAATGTTTTTTTCTTCATTTTCATTTCTTAAGCAAGAAAAAAAAGAGTCAGAACTTACTGCCCAACTGGCTAATTTCGGATTAAGTCCTAACAAACGTTTCATATCGGCCAAACGACAATCGATAACTGCCATCCACCATAAACGAGTTTCATTGCTCGTAAATGTAGAATAGACGGGAGGACGAACGGTAGCATCACTGGCATCACTGGTAGGAATGGTAGTGGCAGTGTCAGGAACTAATTGAGGTGGAGCTGACCTATTGGGTACTGGCTAATAAAGTATAGAAAGTACAGATACAAAATCATTTTTAAAGTGATGAGGTAGTATATATATATATATATATATATATTATGGGGTTGTGGAGATTGAGTTACTTTTTGAAATCATGAGTCGATCAGTGTTGGACTACTATTAGAAGCCTGGACGGCCGTTTGGTCCTGGTGTGGGACTCATCAGAGGTCAGGTGTCCTTGCGCAAGACCGAAGGTCCTGAGTTCGAATCCTGTGAGGTGCGGGAGTTGTTGATGATGAGTCCCATACCAGGACAAAACGGCCGTCCAGTGCCTCCAGATTTCTAATGGTAGTCTAACATTGATCGATTTCCTATTTTGAAAGATTAGATCCACATGCAACAAATTCAAACAGATAATTAAACAATTAACTTACAGATTTTATTGACTGACTTTCCTGAGATGACAGAATCTATAATCAATGTTAGTCTTCGATTAGCTAGTTAGCTTACTGATTTTGGCATATTCTGGTTATCTGGAGGCTGTGATGTTGTTGTTGTTTGAGTAGATTGGCACATTTTCTGATAGACAATTAACTAAGTGAGTATATACTTACATTAGAAGTTAGATTCTCTTTATCCCGAACTAAGTCTTTTAATACTAAATATCTCATTTTGTCCTGAAAAAAATCTATATGCCAAAAATTAAGGACTTCTTACCAAGTCGTATTCGACTACAGCAATTGAAGCAATAAGTTTTTTCACAGAATATCGCGGTTCTAAAGAAACGAAAATTTCCAATTAAATAAGATACTACATACAGTTGAAACAGTCAAGTGGAAAACGTTTAATAACAATTTATTTGAGTTAAAGGCTTTTGAATTTATTTAGTGGACATAAAATCTGGTACTAATAAGCACCAACAATAGAATGCATCATACAAAGTATTGAGTTGACATTGCTGAGAAAAGAGGGGAGAAGATGAGTTATATTTGAAGAAAACTAAATAAAAGAAAGTAGTAAATAATAAGAGATATAGTTTAGTTAGTAATACAATCTAGGACGATTTTTTTACTGAGTTTAAATCCCTTCTAATTTCTGTCCAATTTAAAAGAAAATTAAAAAAGGGGAACCAATGAATCGCCATTGCTTTTGGAAATATTGAACTTTATAATTTCTAACAGGGTTAACACTAAACGCTAGCAATCCTTTAGAGGCAATTATAATTGGACACAGATTCGTTAAACATCCTCAATTCGGAGGAGCCATATTTCACAATTATAGAGCAAAAGTGTCTTAATCGATGGATTGTAGACCCGAACTTTTGCAGAAAAACTAATATTATGAAAGTAATGAAGGTAGCCTAGATTCTCATAGGCCGTTAGCCCTCTTTATGAATCACGCCACCACCAGCATTCACAAAACCATCCATATAACCGGAATATTTAAATACTTTTAACGGTCCACCATTAATAGTCAGTGTAGAAGCAGGCTACTGCCAGTATTCCAAATATATCTCGCGTTTAGGAGAGGTAAGGTAGTATTGTTGGACATATAAGGCAATAAACGTAAAAATAACGATAAAGATCGTCGACTACGTGTTTGGTCCATTAACACAACTAAATAGATACTCAGCAGCAATCAGTACTCGTACCTAGGGTAAAACAACGTAATAACGCAGACCAGATGACAGTAGTCCGATGTCTTATGTTAATTACTGACTAGATAGGTGTAATGAATTAACACCTACAAAAGAACTTTATTGAAATCTCCGTGAGACTTGCTAAAAACCGAAAATATAGTTATTTCTTATTACAAAACTCTACCTAATATCGACATGTGATTGGAAATTATTTCGATAAACAGTAAGACTGAAACACTAATACTTCGTGGAACTGGATTTCTCTGAGTTGCAAAGAAAATAAAAAAATGACCACCCACTCCTACTCAGAAACAAGAAGGTTTGCGGACTTAGTAAGAAGGATTTGACTAAGACCGATTTGGCCTCGTTTGCTGTTATGGGTATGAGCGCGGATGTCACTTTCCGGGTGCCCGCACCGTGGGTGTTTCTTGAAGAACCTATAAAGGAGGTCGGATTAGTGTTTGTCTTAGAAACACGGTAGCGTGAGCGCGGAGCCCAAGGGGCAACTACTACCTCTATTACTATGGGATTTGAATTGACGATTGCGTCTCCGTGATAATTTGATATGGCAACCTGAACTGATGTACGTAAGTACGTACGAAGTTCTTTATTGTGACTGCCCGACTGACGTGTGGACCGGTGGTTTATTTTTGCAGTGTAAAGTTTCTATAAGTTGGGGAAATCTACCAAATATGGCTTACTGATGCAAACGTAAGCGTCGAAACAAACTGGTCACGTTTTAATGACACTGAGAAGTGTACGTAAAAGTAAGGAATGATGCGAGTCGTTCGACAAAAAAGAGTCAAATGCAACGCACTTGTTCAATAATCATTAAACAAATAGTCTTTTTAGTAGAGTAGTAGTAAATACGTTATTTAATTAAACCATTGCTACATTTGTCGTCAACAACTTGGGATTCTCAAACTTTCAGCAACGCACTAAATTTTCGGACTCAGTTGTTACAAGCACAGAAAATTAAACAGTTTTAGATGCTGGAGTTTCAAACAACTTTGGAGAGATATGTGTTAGTTTCCCTGTTGGAGATTTTATTTTAGCTATAAATCCGTATATAGGATTTACATCGAAGCCGTAAGCTGACAACAATAGAACGGCAAAGAGAATGAATGATGAAAACTAAAAGCAAATCTGAGATGAAGATTTAATTTTCTAAACAATAGAGTCATAAATTACGGTCTAATTGATTCTAACAATACGCCTGTAACATTGAAAACTTTTCTGACCATTTTTGATAATTAAAAACACGATAGAAATACTAGCTAGAAAGCTTGTTATATTTAGTCTACTGTCTATAAAAAAAATGACTTGAAATACGGACCATATGCATGCTCGCCACTTTCCAAAGCATAAAAGTGAGATTATCCGTAAATTTATCCATGATTCTATTTTGCATAACATATGGCAAAAGGTGACAAATCTACGCATACTAAATGATGCAGTTTAAGATAGACTGTACATTAAGATAGTTGAAAATCAGATGAAATAGACAAGACTGATAATTGCACTGGCCACTGTGTTATTCAAAAGATCAAATTTATTGAATTAGTTAAAACCTTTGAATGAGAAACCATTCGAGTTTTAGAAAATACTCAATAAAAGCAATCCGGTTATACGGTACTATGGCAGACGTGAAATGAATTACCTTGTTTTAATAGTTCATCTTCTTTAATGAACTTAAGGATCTGTTCACTGGATACACGACCCCCATAATCATTAAAAGCTCGAACCAGCCTTGACCTTGCATCCATTCAAATGATGCACTAAAGACAGTATTATTTCGCTACCACCGTTGTTTTACTGTTGTACTCTCACAGTCTTCTATTGTAAAAAAAAGTATTTAACAAAATTATTTTGATCAAAGATCTCAGAAAAGATGGCTTTCTAAACGAAAGTCTTTACCTTATGTTTATCCCTCTAGCCATCATTGGTTACTCAGTTTTAGCCTTTAGTTGACATGCATTGATCTCAACCATCCAATATATTACTGAATTTTCTAACGAGACGTGTCAAGCTATATCTTATAGTGTACACTGTAGTTAATTATTTTGCCACGGTACATAAACTTTCTGAAAATATCGTGCGACTTGATCATTATCGAATAAAATGAAGTAAAGAAACATGGATATCAAAACTGACGTTTGATGTAACATAAGTCAGAAATGAATAGCTCAGTTTGGCTAATGCGTTGCACCTCACTTTCTAGCGAGGAATTCCACGTTTTACTAGGAACATGCTGGGCCATTGAAAGTATTCTCAATAAGAGCAAACTGTTTCTTCACTGGACGACAAATGTTTGGACACTGAAATTTTCCAAATACCATCCAGGATGAAAAACGTAAGTTATGAACGGACGTCATTGAACCGGTGCGTGCGATAGATGGTTTATTTTCCATATATAAATTCTTCATCATCTTATTATCTTAACGTGACTGTTACGTCATAAGATTCAATTTCGTCTGTAGAAATACTAAGAAACTACTGTAACTGGACCCCTGCAAATGTATTTCTACAGTGGCCGTCTCAATTGGGTTCCAATAGAGGCACTCCTGTACGCTTTTCCCAGTTCCGGGTCCCAACCAATTCAAAAAGGGCAAAATTCTAGGAGAAAGCGTCTGTATTAGTTAAAAAATGGAAATACAAAGCATTACCTGGAAATAGTGCTTCTTCC